TCTTGAGCCCAGGGGAAACAACTTGGGTCCGAGGAGGCCTGACTCATTGAGCAGGGGCGCAGGCAGTGCTGGGGAGCAGACAGCTGATGGCTGCATCCCAGAGTCCTGCGTGGAGGATCCACAGCCCTCCAGAATCCGATCCCCACCGCCAGTGTACCCACCACCCTCTTCTCTCCTACGCTGCGGTCATGCAGGCTTCTCCTCTCTCCCAGGCTGATCGCAGTCGCCCTGCTGCTGCTCCTGGACTTGTACTTTCCTGCAGCCCACCTCTCTACTTCCTCAACCCTACTTATCCTTTAACACCCAGTGCAAAGGCAGCAGACCAGACCTTCCCATTCTGTTTTAGCCACTCCCCTAACTTCAAGTTCTGCTCACTCGCTCACTGCTCCCTTGCCAGCTGTGCCAGGTTCCTAGGGCTGCTGTCACAAGGGACCACAAACTTGGTGGCTGAAAACAACAGAAATGTATTGTCTCTCAGCTCTGGAGGCTGGAAGTCTCCCTCTGAAATCCACAGGGCAGGATGCTTCCTTGCCTTCTCCAACTTCTGTTGGCCCCAGGCATTGCTTGGCTTGTGGCAGCATCACTGTCATCCCTGCCTCTGTGGTCACAGCCTCATCTTCCCTCTGTGTCTCTTCTGTCCTTAGGGGAGCACCAGTCCTATTGGATTAAGAGCCCACCCTACTCCAATGTGACCTCAAACTAATTACATTTGCAATGATCGTATTTCCAAATAAGGTCACATTAGGAGGTACCGGGGGTTAGGACCTCAACATATATTTCGGGGGGACAAAATTCACCCCATAACACCTGCTATTAGAGTTAGCTGTACACAGGTCTGCATCCTTCACGACAGGTCTTCATCCTTCACAGCCTACCATTCAGTGGTTTTGGAATGAGACAGACCTGGGTTTGCCACTCACCCTTTGTATAAACTGGAGCAAGATTCCCAAGCAATCTGTCCTTTCCCATCTGTAAAATAACCACAACACCCAGAGTCACTGTGCTACTCATTAGAGTCAATTCATGCACCTGGAGAGTGCCCAGGAAATGTTATCATAACAATAATACAATAAACTAATATATTTATTAAAACAAATCAAAATCATAATTATAACATTAATCCAATGAATAAATAAAACAATAATTAATATTGTGTGTTGAACATAGCAGATGCTCAATAAATAAACGTTAGTCACCATTTCCTCTAATAGGTATGTACTAAACTGGCTGGCTGGCAGAACACTGGAGCTAAGGAGCTTTTCCAGAGGGAGGGGGAAGCAGTGGCCGACAAGCCCTGGAGGCCCCATCCGTCCCCTGCATCGCGAGAATTGCTGAGGTGACTACGTGGCGCTGCCCATTCTTGCCTGGGTGGCAGGAAGATCTTGGTTCCCACTCCCACACCACAGAATCCTGGCTGGCTCTGTGGAAATGTGACGGTGGAACAGGCAGAGACTCCACACCCTGCTCTGTTCTCTAAGGCTGTGTGTGGGTGTGTGGGTGTGTGCGTGTGTGCGTATGTGCGTGTACGTATGTGTGCATCTGTGTGTGAGGGCTTGGAAGACAGAGGCCAGAAGGGCCAAGAGTCCTTCCAAAAGGATCTGTTTCAGGCTGGAATGAAAGACGGCAACCAGAGCATGCCCTCCGGCTCTGCAGGCCTTCCTGGTTTCTGTGGAGAACCAGATTCTCCTGTGGAAAGAGGGTGGGTGGCAGACGCAGCCAAGCATTTGGAATCAGAGACCTGGGTCTGAAACAGAACTCTACCTTTGATGAGCTGGGTGACCTCAGTGACCGCAGCTTTCTCTCAAAGTGGGGCCGATAAAATCTGCCCTATCAAAGAAGAACATGATACAAGTGCCAGCTGTTAATATTTATGTCTCATTGTTGCCAACCCTTGAAGATACATTTCCAAAGCCCATCCAAGTTTACAAAGTACTGTCACAGCTTTGCTTTGTTTTGATTTTCATTTAGACAACGTAAAAAACAAAACTAAACCTTTTAATTACTATTAGAAAGAAGGGAATATGTCTAAGGTTTAATATTCATCTGCAGTGGGATCAAACTTGGCCTCCTTTCTCCTCTGCATATTTTATGAACATCCAAAAATGTATGCTTCTATTTTGAGGGATTTCCTCTTCTTCTTTATTTGCTTCTTTATTTTTCTTTTTCATTTTTCTGACCCTATGTGTTATATTGAAGAGTTTCTTCTTCTTTTTATAATACATTTCATTTATTTATTTATTTATTTATTTATTTATTTGAGACGGAGTTTTGCTCTGTCACCCAGGCTGGAGTGCAGTGACACGATCTCGACTCACTGCAACCTCTGTCTCCTGGGTTCGAGAGATTCTCTTGCCTTAGACTCCTGTGTAGCTGGAACTACAGGCATGTGCCACCACTCCCAGCTAGGTTTTTCTTTTTTTTTTTTTTTTAGTAGAGACAGGGTTTCACCATGTTGTTCAGGCTAGTTTCAAACTCCTGACCTCAAATGATGAGGCCACCTCAGCCTCCCAGAGTGCTGGGATTACAGGCATGAACCACCACGCCCGGTGAGTTTCCTCTTCTTAGGAGCAAACTGAGACCCAGCATATGCCCTCATTAGACTTTAAACAAGACAAATCCTTCCATAGTAGACACTAATCATCATTTACTTGAGGTTTATAGAGAAATTGTTTTAAGGTGACACACCAAAGTGGGATGCAGGTTTTTAGGAAAGAAGATAGTGATGGAATTTTATCCAGAAATCACAGGTCTAAGGGACAGACATCATTGTAGCAGATCAACACAGACACACTGCAAAACATGAGTAGTTTGACCCGGCGCGGTGGCTCATGCCTGTAATCCCAGCACTTTGGGAGGCCGAGGTGGGCAGATCACAAGGTCAGGAGATTGAGACCATCCTGGCCAACATGGTGAAACCCCCATCTCTGCTAAAATAGAAAAAATTAGCTGGGCATAGTGGCGCAAGCCTGTAATCCCAGCTACTCGGGAGGCTGAGGCAGGGGAATCTCTTGAACCCGGGAGGCAGAGGTTGTAGTGAGCCGAGATCGTGCCACTCTACTCCAGCCTGGTGACAGAGCAAGACTCCATCTCAAAAAAAAAAAAAAAAGAAAAGAGAAGTAGTTTTATTATTAAATTTAAACTTTCCAGCAAAGCCAGTGAGGGCGATGGATAAGATGCACATAGATAACCAGAGAGAGGTACAAAGTGTGATGAGGTCAGAGAATAAATAGCTCACATTCTTTGAGGGCAGTAAGGAGAGTACCTAAAGTCTTTCTTCTGATGTGGGACAGATCAGAGCCCAGATAAAGGGAAGGGAATAAACTATGACAAGCTGGTGATCTGAGGTAGAAAAGCAAGTTTCTTTTTTTTTTTTAAGACGGAGTTTTGCTCTTGTTGCCCAGGCTGGAGTGCAATGTGCGATCTTAGCTCACTGCAACCTCTACCTCCTGGGTTCAAACAATTCTGCTGCCTCAGCCTCCCAAGTAACCGGGATTACAGGTGCCCACCACCACGCCCAGATAATTTTGTATTTTTAGTAGAGATGGGGTTTCACCATGTTGCCCAGGCTGGTCTCGAACTCCTAGGCTCAAGTGATCCTCCCACCTCGGCCTCCCGAAGTGCTGAGATTACCGGTGTGAGCCACTGTGCCTGGCCAGGGTGAATATTTTCACCCTGTAATTTTTGTTCCCTTTTATTGTCCTGTACTTGTCTGAATCCCCTACCCTGCTCCATACATACATACTAGCTACTAGAAAGTATAAAAGAGTAGGAAATAAATGTCTTAAATCTTTCCAGATTAACAAATTTGTATTGAGCTCTGATAACTCTAATGAATCACTGAGCAACACCAAAGTTTGAAAATGGTTGATCTCACTTGAGAGATTAACTTTGAATGTGTTGCTCCTGGTTTTGCAATCACCTAACAGGTTCTTCCTGTCTGCTGCACAGACAAAATTAATCCATTGAGACCATGGCATTGCAGTAAAGAAAGAGTTTAATTGATTTGAGACTGGCCATGCTGCATGGAAAAAGAGACACTACTCAATCTCCCCAGAAATTCGGAGGCTAGTACAGTTTGGAGGCAAGTACAGTTTAGTGGGCAGGGAGCTAAGGAAGGGAGAATGCTGATTGGCTGGGGATGCAATCACAGGGGAGTGGAGAACGGCCGTCTTGTGCTAAGTCCACTTCAGGGTGGACCCCCAGAGGAGTTGCTGGTCTGGCTGGGGCCATCTGGTAGTCAGCAATGCAAAAGCCTGAAAAGACATCTCAAAGGGCCAGTCTCAGGTTCTACAATAGTGATGTCATTTATAGGAGTAATAGGGAAGTTGCAGATCTTGTGACCTCCGGAATAATGGCTGGGAGTCATTTTTTTTTTAATTAGAAAAAGTATTTATTTCTGCTCCTTTCATACATCTTTTTTTTTTTTTTTTTTTTTTGAGACAGTGTCTCGCTCTGTCTCCCAGGCTGGAGTGCAGTGGCGCGATCTCGGCTCACTGCAAGCTCCGCCTCCCGGGTTCACGCCATTCTCCTGCCTCAGCCTCCCGAGTAGCTGGGACTACAGGCGCCCGCCACCTCGCCCGGCTAGTTTTTTGTATTTTTTTTTTTTTTAGTAGAGACGGGGTTTCACCGTGTTAGCCAGGATGGTCTCGATCTCCTGACCTCGTGATCCGCCCGTCTCGGCCTCCCAAAGTGCTGGGATTACAGGCTTGAGCCACCGCGCCTGGCCTGCTCCTTTCATACATCTTATTGTTCAGGAAGCGGTCTTACATACATATCTGAAATAATCTACCATCACACACTCTAGTTAAAGGCAAAACACCATAGGTAAACCTGATCAGCTGTCCAGAGTTCTCAGCTTATGGAATCTTGCTTCTTGATTTTATGTTAATTTCTGAATATCAGAAACATCATCTCCAAAAAGTGTTAAGGGGGTTGTAAAAAATAATCCCTTTATTTGATATTATCATTGTAAATATGGAGCATCTTTTCTTTAAGAAATGAAAAACTAAGAAGAAAATGCTACTCAACATCGTTGATACAGCAATAGGTCAGCAGGAAAAAAAAAGACTGTGATAAACTTGCCTCTTTAATACCAAGAAGGAACTCTAGTCCAAGCTTCAATATGCTTCCTGTTTTTTCACTAGGTATTTCTTTTACTGCTGCTCTTCATTCTTTTCCACATTTCATGTTAGAGAATTGGACAGCCTTTAAACTTCATTGACAGGAGCAAATCCAGTACCCAATGAGTTCTTCTCAAAGGCACTCTAACCCATCAGATAGCCCGGCAGTTTCATTCTCATGAATACTCTAGTCATGAAAAAACTCAATAGGACACAAATGAATCCAATGAATAGAAGAAGAAATCTACTGAGTTTTGGGATATTTGGTGCATTCGATCGGTCCAGGAATATGAAACCTAAACCTCCCATTGTAAACAGGAAGCTGGATGCAAGTCCTTGCATAATATATTGTTCATTTACTCTGTAGGCCAAGAAAGCTACTGGGCTCTGATGCCCGTGTTCATCGGTCATAGAGCCAACACTTGGAGGTTCAACAATAACATCATAAATTATTCCTCCAGTGACCAGGAAGTAAGACACCACCACTAGAGCATATACAATCATGGCCGACGCCACGTGCAGCCAGGGCGGCTTCTTCAGCTTCAGGTTGGAACATTCGAGCACTAAGAATAGGACTCGGTACAAAGTCTCCATGCTGGTGGCAGCAAGGGCGGCTTTTAGTCATTTAACTATGCTTACATTTTAGCAGAGTTCAGGCCCCTCTCATCCTCCTAACCTGGTGGTTACTTTTACAAGGGTGGTTTAGTTTTGGGGAAGGGGCATTATCATTTAAACCATAAACTAAATGTGTTAGCTTGACCTAAACCCGGGAATGACCAAAGGCAGTTTGGAGGTTAAAGGCAAGATGGAGTTGGTTAGATCAATAGATCTCTTGCACTGTCATAATTTTCTCATTGTTTCAATCTTTTCGAAGGCGGTTTCAATTCAATTAAGATACGAAAGAAAAACTGTCCAGACATTGAATCTTGGACATACCCTCATCTTAGTGCCTTGGCATTTGCTCCTCCCCCTGTTGGGACACGCTTCCCCTGGGGTATTTAATGGCTCTCTCTCAATTCCTTCAGGGATCTGTTAAATGCGGCTTCCTCAGAAAGCCTTCCTTGCTCACCCATGCGGCTTCCTCAGAAAGCCTTCCTTGCTCACCCTATTTGAAACAGTGCTCTCATCAACTCCAACCCTTTCTTCTGCTCCAACGTCTTCAAAACACTTAATTCTACCCAACGTTAGAGTACACAGCAATTTGTTCATACATTTATGGTCTTTTTGCTTGTTAGAACATATACTCTATGGGCACCCACTTTACCTGGCACACTGAAGGCACTCAATAAATATTAGCTGAATGAATGAATGATTGGATGAGTGAGTGAATGACCATTTGGCTTATCACATAACTCTACATGTGATTGGCTAAACAGTCTTGCTGAGGTCCAGGAAACAGAGAACTAGTAAGGAAAGAGGCTCTCCTCTCACCTGCAGGTCACGTAGGTCACCAGGCAGAGGCATAGCTGCCTCTACTGCTAGAAGGAACATCTTTTGTTTGCTAATTACATACAAGAAACTCCACTTTTGGCTGCGTGCGGTGGTTCATGCCTGTAATCCCAGCACTTTGGGAGGCCAAGGCGAGAGGATCACTTGAGCCCAGGAGTTCAAGACCATCCTGGGCAACACAGAGAGATCCCATCTCTACGAAAAATATAAAAATTAGCCAGGTTTGGTGGTGTGTGCCTATCATCTCCACTACTCGGGAGGCTGAGGTGGGAGGATCACTTGAGCCTGGCAGGTAGAGGCTGCAGGGAGCCGAGATCATACCACCGCACTACAGCCTGGGTGACAGAGTGAGACCCTGTCTCAAAAAAAAAAAAAGAAAAGAAAAAGAAAAAGAAACTCTACTTTCTGTAAATCATGAATGCAGATACTTTATAATAGCTATACTTGTCGATATTTTCAAAACCTAATTGGGGCTTATGGATTAAAAAGTATATTAGCTGAAAACATTCTGACTCAACACAACAATTATACCCAGTAGCATTAGAGGAGAAGCACTTAATGATAAATTATGCTTGTGGCTAACAGAGCATTTGCACTAAATGGGTAACATTTTCATTTCCTGTTTCAGTTTCCACATCGTTTGTAGAGAGCTTCATTACATACACCCCAAACCTAAGTGAAAGGTTGAGCCTGTAAATTAGGATTCTGACTTCCCCATTTACTCCAAACTCTTCAATGGCTTATTTTCTATTTCTATAAAAGCCAGAGATCAAGAATTCACCCAAAAGTCAGGGGATTTAGGAAATATTAATTCATCTCCCTTAGGGAGCCCAGTGCCAAAAGACCAACCACAAAGTTAAAAAATAGTGATACATTGCAGGGAGGCAGTGGTGAACAAAAGACGGAGACAAGGACAAAGTGATGACAAGAAGAGAGGAACTGATTTTTTTTACAGACGCTAACAACATAAGGAAACATGTTAGCTCCCTCTTTCTAAAAGGTAAAGAAGGACAACTATGAAATTAATTGTTCTGTTAGTGGACTATCAAGGCAATTAAGTCTTGTTCTATTCAGTATATTTCCTCCTCAAATCATAACACATATTGAAATGTGGAGAGTTGGAGTCACGATGTAAGAGTCTTATATTTTCCGTGGGTTGTGTGAAGGTGATAGCATTTTGCACATTCCGCTGGTAGCACGTATCTTGCTGCACTGTAATGTTTGTTTACATTTATATGCACCATGGTGGATTATGACCTCCTGCGGGGCTGGGCCTCTGGACTCATAATCCTCTGCACACTAGTACAACCCATTAAACATTTCGTAGATCAACTATGAAGCAGGTGCACCTTTGCCCTATGGTTCCTTAAAACTCATTCAATATTCAATTAAATCCAGAAGGTCTAGCAAATTCTTAGTACAGCAATGAAATCTGGTAGTTTGTCAAGAGTCAACTGGTGTTCAGTTGTTTAAAAAAAATAGATTAGAGTTACTCAAAAATTTTCTATGGGAGGCTGAGGAGGGAAGATTACTGGAGCCCAGGAATTCAAGGCTGCAGTGAGCTATGATCACACTACTGCACACCAGCCTAGGTGACAGAGCGAGACCCTGTCTCTTAAAAAAAAAAAAAAAAAAAAAAAAAGGCTGGGCACGGTGGCTCAAGCCTGTAATCCCAGCACTTTGGGAGCCCGAGATGGGCGGATCACGAGGTCAGGAGATCAACACCATCCTGGCTAACACGGTGAAACCCCGTCTCTACTAAAATACAAAAAAAAAATTAGCCGGGCGTGGTGGCGGGCGCCTGTAGTCCCAGCTACTTGGGAGGCTGAGGCAGGAGAATGGCGTGAACCTGGGAGATGGAGCTTGCAGTGAGCTGAGATCTGGCCACTGCACTCCAGCCTGGGCGACAGAGCGAGACTCCGTCTCAAAAAAAAAAGAAAAAAATCTCTGAAAGTGGAATGAGAGATTTTGTAGTGAATAGAATGTTAAGTAAATATTTGAGAAATATATTGAAAGTGTGATAGGAGAAATTTAATTTTCACAGATAAAATAAGCTTCTCAATGACAAATAACTTTGCAAAAAATTTGTTGGCACAATAGCACTCAAATGTGTATCCACTTTCCTGTATTCACTAATAGTTTACTGTTTTTCTTTTCTGGTTTTGTTTTTTTGTTGTTGTTTGTTTATTTGTTTGTTTAGACAGGGTCTCCATCTGTCGCCCAGGTTGGAATGCAGCAGCACAATCTTAGCTCACTGCAGCCTCGACCTCCTGGGCTCAAATGATCCTCCCTCCTCAGCCTCCCCAGGTAGCTGGGACTGCAGGTATGCACCATCATGCCTGGCTAATTTTTTTGTATTTTTAGTAGAGACAGGGACTTACTCTACTTACTCTACTCCATGTTGCCCAAGCTGGTTTTGAACGCTCAAGTGATCCACCCACCTCAGCCTCCCAAAGTCAGGGACCACAGGCGTGAGCCACTACACCTGGCCCTGGTTTTCAAATACTTAACTGCTTCCTCAGGTGGAAATTCTAAGGATCAGTATTGACCCATTCACTCATTTACTCATCGATTCACTTAACCAATATTTATCGAGTTCTCACCATGTGTCCAAGCACTAAGGATATTTTAGTGTATGAATACAGACATGCCATTGTGGAGCTTAGAGTTATCAAACCAATACATAAACAGTCAAAACATTTCAGCTGTGATAAGAAGATGTATTTGTTGTACATGGTGCTAGAGTTATTATAAGGGAGATTTGCTTTAAGCCGGGTCCTCAAGGGAAGCTCCCTAGAAGAAATGATGAATAAACTAAGATCTGGAGGATGGTAGATGAACCAGGGCAACAGAGGAGGGAAGAGCGATGCAGGTACAAGAGAAGCCAAAGTTTCTGGGGTGGGAAGCAAAACCAGTGGGGCAGAGGCTGGAGACCGTGCCAGTGCATAGGGGTTATGGAATTTGACTTATCCTTGGAAAATGGGAAGTCACTGAAGTGCTTTAAGCCAGAGAGGAGATGGGTTAAGCTGTGGTAAGATCCGATTTGCCTTCCCCAAGATGCTCTGATCCTGTGCAGAGGAAATATTAAGGGGCAATTGAATTGGATTAGGAGCTAGATGACTTGGACAGGAGACTTGAGGGAGGCCTAATGTCCCCCAATCCCACAAAGAGTGGCTCCTTCTTAGCAAAAGTCAGTGTTTTGCTGCAAAATTAAAATAATAGCTGAAAATGTATTTCCCAACTTATAGGAAGATGGAATGCCAGCCACATTGAACCCAAATGATTTTTTAAATGTAATTGTTCCTCCACAAAGCCTACAAGCTTCTCAAAGGCAGGAAACGTATGTTATTATTCATTGTGTCTTCAGGCCCAACATACCAGATAAACTGAGTAAATGATTGTCAAACACATGACGAAAGCACGGTGTGTTTGTTTGCTAGGGCCACCATAACAAAGTACCACAGACCAGGTGGCTGAAACAATAGAACTGTATTTTCTCATCTTCTAGGAGGTAGAAGCCTGGGATCTGCTGGGTGCAGTGGCTCACACCTATAATCCCAGCACTTTGGGAGGCCAAGGAGGGAGAATCACTTGAGGCCAGGAGTTTGAGACCAGCCAGGAAAACATAGCTAGACTCTGTCTCTGTTTTTTTTTAAAAAGAAGATCGAGGTGTGGACGGGGCTGGTTCCTCTTGCAGTCTGAGGGAAGGATCTGTCCCAGGCCTCTCTGCCCCGTGGATGGCTGCTCTTTCATTGTCTTCTCATTCTCTCCCTCTATGTATGTTTCTGGGCCCACATTTCCCCTTTTATGACACCAGCCATTTTGGATTAGAGCCCACTCTACTGACCTCATTTTAAGCTTGACCGCCTCTGTATAGACCCTATCCCAATCCAAATAAGGTCACATTCTGAAGTATTGGGTGTTAGGATTTCAACATAGGAATTTGAGGAGATAACATTTAGCACATAATCCATGGGGCTGTGCATTTTTTGTAGCTGGGCGGTGTTAGAAGAAGCCCTTTCAATGTGGCAGCCTGTGCTAGCAGCCAGCGGGCCCCCTGGTGGGCCAAGCTTGAGTGGAGTTGGTGGTGGGTAGGGCAGGGCGTAGAACATGCCTTTACCTGGTCTCTTCAAAGCCCATCTCATTTTCTTTCTTTCCTCT